TTTATGCAAGCAGGTGGCAGTGGGACAAAGAATATGTCTGGAGAGACAGGGATAAAGGGCTAGGGTGCCCAGGGTCTGTACCTAAGGCAGAGTCTCCAGTGAATGGATGGAGTTTGGACAGGAGGAAGGCACTTCTGAGTAGACTGCTACAGAGCGAGTGAGAGACCAGGACAGCCATGATGGAGACAGGAAGGACGGTGAAATTTGCTCCTGTGCAGTCCCGGTACAAAGTGTGTCTAGGTATCTGTGGCTAACACAAAGAATGGAGATGGGCTAGAAGGGAAGGCCGAGAGGGCCCACAAAAAACAGCTAGGCTGGGTCTGCACCTAAAGGCAGGCTCTCTTTCATAATTTCTTAGTGCTGTCAGGCCAACTCTTGGTCAGGAAGAAAAAATTTTTAATTTTTTTATATGTTTATTTTAAAATTACATATTATAGTGGTAATTTTTAATCTAATGGTAATGTGTTGCTTTTAACGAAACTTAAAATTAACCTTAAAAGTGTGTGTGTGTGTGTGTGTGTGAGTGTGTGTGTGTGTGTGTGTGTGTGTGGTTTTTTTTTTTTTTGCCAGTCTTGTACTTTATTGCCTTCCCACCAGGCCTTGACCGCATACTTGCCAAGCAGGTACAGCCTCTCCTTCCTCTGTTGCTTCTTGGTCTTCAGTTTGTCCTTGTGTTTGGTGAGCCGGCGGCACATGGCTCTATTCTTCTTGGATTGCAGGCCCAGAGGCTTGCACTTCTTACCTTTGTAGAATTTCCTGAGGTTTTCTTTTTGAGTCTGGGTAACTACGGTAAGGACATGGGCAATGGATTTGTGGACGACTCTTATCTTGGAGAGTTGGGACACAGCGGCGCTGCCCATCACCTGGAACTGCTCCACCTTCAGATGGGCTAGTTATTTTAGCGGCTCCTCCTTCTCACGGAGCAGGTCCCATAGCTGCATTGCTCACTGCTGAGGCCTCCTAGTCCGAGAGAAAGAGGAAGAGGCGGGTCCCCTTAAAAAGTATATTTGATGCCACATCCTAACTGGATGAAGGACCAAGTCATCTCTGTCTTAAACATTTCGTGCCAGGAAAAAAATGAAAGAGGAATACAGAAATGGAGGGGAGGAAAATGTCATTGAGGAAGGAAAAAATGAGTGGGAAAGTTGTAGAATTCTACCCTAAATAAAGAGTATAGGAAGAAAAAAATACAGATACCATACAGCAAAGATTATTTTGAGAAACTGTAAAAAAGATTTGCTTGAGAGGAGTTAATTATAGCAATCATTTTTAATAAAAATATTCTATTATCTGAAAATGTCAAACAATACGTCTTTTTCTTATCCACCCCAGTTGCTCCCTTTATCTCTTCCCAGCTCTACTCCCATCTCCCTACTCCTCCAACTCTCCTACTCTATTATTTTATATTTAAAGTTTTCAGAATTTCCCATGTGAATACCATATTCCCATCCTTTCCAGCCCTCCTTCTACCCCCTCCAACTCCTCCCATGCCTCCTCCTTCTGCAGAGAAGCGATATGCCTCCCCTTTCTAACTCCCCCTCAAACTCATGACCTCTTTTCCTTTAATACATATTACAAAAACATATATAATATATTAATATTATATTAATATAAAACTGATTCATAAAATATTATGTTTCTATTGTGTCACATATATTTATATTTAATTGAATTATATATTTTACAATTAGTGTATATAATATATGTATATCTTACTAAGTGTGTTTAGTGTCACCAATGCATATACTCATGTTTAGTACTGATCACTTGCATCTTAATTAGGGTTTCTACTGATGTGATAAGACACCATGACAAAAGAAACTTGGAGAGGAAAGGATTTACTTCGTCTTACAGATTCTAGTCCATCACCCAGGGAGGGCAGGGCAGGAACTCACGGCTGGCACCTGGAGGCAGGAGCTGATGCAGAGGTTATGGAGGAGTGCTGCTCACTGGCTTGCCCCTCAGGGCTTGCTCAGTCTGCTTTCTTAGACGTTCAAGGGCCACCTGCCCTGGGGTAGCAAGCACTACCTGCTTTGAGATAGACCCACCCATGTCAGTCACTAATTGAGAAACTGCCAAACAGGCTTGCCTACAGGCCAGTCTTACAGATGCGTTTTCACAGTTGTGGTAACTCTATCTTGTGTCAAGCGATCAAAACATAGCCTATCGAGGAGCTCGTCCCTGAGGAAAAATGATTCCTCCTTGCTCCACAGCAGTTTACGCCCTGTACCTCTTCATGTACCATGCAGACCCCTTTCTCAGCTTCTCACTCCAAGTTCTTTAGAGTATAAATCCTAGCCACACCTACTTAGGCTTTATTATTCCCTACGGTGCTGCCTTTATCCCCTCCCTCTTTACATCTCCATCCCATAACAGACTTGTTTGCTAGCTTCCTATCCCCTAATATCTTGTTCATGGAGGCATGGATTTAGTCACCTACGCAGGCTGCCTCTGGTGTGTTTTGTTTACAGGGAAGATGAACTTCTGGTCTGAGTAGGAGTAGTCAGGAAGATGCAGGCTGCTCATCTGTGACTTGCCTCATGGAAACAGATTGCACATGTTACTAACTTTACGGGGCGAGAGTAAAGCCCAGGCCAGGATGGGTCAGTGGTGAAGTGGTGGGAGGGACCACACCTTCCCCAGGACTGCTTAGATGAGCACATCCCTGGCCCTCTGTTTAAGCTTCAATCTCATTTTGAGACCCTAAAGATGAACCAGGGAGGTCACTGTATCTCTTGTCCCTCCTAATAAGGCCACACTGAATAAATACCCTCTTTCTGTTGTTTTGTTTTTGTTGTTGTTTTTTAGTATTTATTTGACTGTGTTAAGTGACTTATTGAGATTGAGTGGCTGCAGCTGACTAGTATTTTCTAAGCAAGAATGGATCAAAGCAAGGCCCTGTCTCCAGGCCCCCAATGGAATAGGGACTCTGACTGAACCTGCCTAGCAGGCCTGTAGCAGACAGAAAGAGATCCAATCTCAAAGGAATAAAGACGTGGTTTATTCTGGAGTGAATATGAGTGATCATGGCCCAGGAGCAGATTCAGGTTTATCCCCTCCCCCCCAAAAAAAACATGTTCCAAAGAAGTATAAATTTCATTAACTTTTATAGTAACAAAACAAAGAAAGTCATAAAACATACTTTTTGGGGAGTGAGGAGGGTGGAGAGATGGCTCAGAGGTTAAGAGCACTGGCCACTCTTCCAGAGGTCCTGAGTTCAATTCCCAGTGTCTACATGGTGGCTCACAGCCATCTACATGCCAGAACACTGTATATATAATTAATTAATTAATTAACTAATTGATTAATTAAAAACATACTTTTCAGTTATATTGGTACATGTACATGTTCAAATATGTAGGTACATGATATAGGTGGGTTATAGCAGAGCAGGGAGGCCTAACAGATTATTAGGCATTTGGATGATGGAAACTAGGGGTCTATTCATACATTTCCAAAGTATTTACATAATGGTGACAAAAGAGGGTAGTTCATGTATAGAGGAGAACAATGGGTGGTTATTAATTGGCAACATTCCAACCTCTCCATATCCCTGAAGTTGTAGTCTTTGCAGACACAGCTTATTTCCAGAATTTTCCATTCACAGACTACAGACTGTCACCACTGGGTGCAGACTGTGACCCTGCGTTTAGTAACACACTCATACACACACACACACACACACACACACACACACTATCCTACAACCATTACTGTGGTTGTGTTTATATCAGTTTACCTTTGTCAAAAATCATTACACAGTGTACTTACAATGAATTCATTCTAGTTCGTGCTAATTGTACTCCAACGGGCGGGTTTTTAAACCGCCTTTAAATCTACGGGACAGTGTGAAAATATATTTAATGAGAAGAAACTGAAAGGCACTGGAGCAGGACACACAAAAAAAGAGATGTGAAACAAGGTAGCAAAAGCCCCTCGCTCCCGGACGTCCGGCTTCTGAATTTCAAGGGCTGGTAGCTTTTGTGTTGGGCCTTAAAGTTCAAATTTGGCAGACATCTTCACCTGGGTCCCCCCCCCCCCCCCCGCCATAATCACAGCTGCTGGCACAAGCTTCTGGTGTCCAGCAATTTCCCTGAAGAGGTAGCTGGGTTACCAAGGCCAGTCTCTTTTCCCTAAAGTTGAGTATGTCCATCTCCATCCACTTCTTTCCCAGCCATTCTCTTTGGACTTGTTTGGACTCCAGGCTTAGGAGGACTTCTCAGTCCCCCCTAACAACTCAGCCTTCATGGATTGCCTGGCTACCCTTAATCTCAGATGATTAAAGATTCAAGGAATGTTGAAAAATAAAATAGTTCATTCGCCTTTAATCCATAATGTGAATCACATACAAGCTTCAGGCAACAAAGGGACGGTGACACAAATGTAAAGAAAGCAATGGGAGGAATTGCACACACCCCGACTTGGGTAAGGAGAGGAATGGTGTCACAGAAACACCAGACTTGGTGGCAATGGTGAGCTTATTCCCGTACAGAGACTAGCTGGTGCATACTCACTTCCTGTATTGACTTCAGACATCTCCCAGTTTGTATACTTTTCTGTGACTTTTTAAAAAGTGCTTCATGTTCATTTGTTGGGACATTGAAAATTTTAAAAAGGCAGCGATATCTGTATATATCAGCCTACGCAACAACGGCAAACACCGACCATAACCTGGGAGTAATCCCTTCAGTCCCTGAATCAGACACAGCTGAGAGTGAGACCCCAGGAGAAGCTTCAAGGAAAGAAGGGTGTGTTTGACCAGACACTTAGGCAGACATCCTTAACCAAAGATGACAATGTGCTGTGGGAAACTCAGCAGGACTAAAGCTCAGTGAGGCTCTAAGCCAGAGCCATCTCCCTGCAACCCCCAAGACACATGGGTTCTTAAAGAAAAGAAAGTCCTCATCTCCCAATACACAAAATCTCCAAATCGCGGAGCTGAAGCAAACCATATGAAGGAGCACCTTCATTTTTTCAGCTTCATGGAGGAGGAACCAAGATTAACCGCGGGAGAGCTTTCCTCTCTTCTGCTATTTCTGTAAACTCGTGCTGAAGGTTAACTTCCCATCCTGGCTTCCTCAAACCCCAGAGATGCTGTCACCTGTCGACTCCCCTGCGAGCAGCTTGGTTTTGCTTTCTTTTTTTCCTTGGGTGAGAGGCACCTTCAAGTTACCATCCCCAGCCTGGCCCTCATGCTGCCTTGGCTCCTGCTGTCGATCTGTGGTGAGTTGCACAACTGAGACTGGGGTCTGGGGTGGGGGTCTCAGTTCTTGAAAAGGTGTCAGGAATTATGGGAGTAGGTTTCTGCCTGGGGATGCTCTTGTTGCCGCTGTCTCTATCACTGCCTGTCTCTCGCTCATACACGGATATACATGCGTGTGTGCACATACACATGCACACACACACACACACGCACGCACACACATGCACACACACATACACAGACACACACACACACACACACGCACGCACACACATGCACACACACACGCACGCACACACATGCACACACACACGCACACACATGCACACACACATACACACACACACACGCGCGCACACACACACGCATGCACACACATGCACACACAGACACACACACACACACACACGCACGCACACGCATGCACACACATGCACACACAACAAATTCATCTCTCAGTTCCTCTTCTTCTATCAACATTATTTCCTTTTATTCAGCGTGGAACTTTAGTATTTCTCATCGCCCCTCCTCATTCCCTTGTACTCACAGTTAACTTTCTCTGGTGTTGTATATCTAAACGGCAGCTTATCTTCCATGGCGGACAGGCCTACTCTCCACAGGGCTCAGGTGCTGCTCTCCATCTCCACACTTTAGGGTTCCCTTGCATCTGTTTTCCTACCGCAGTCAGATGACACATTCCCATGTGCTCTAACTGTGTGCAAACGGGCGAGTGGTACAGTAATCAAAGGCTTGCCAGACTACTTACCACATGTAATGTGGGAACCAAATCACAGACGATCTTCAGATCTGCTGGAGAACCTCATACGCACGTCTACAGCCCTGTTTTTCCACTTATGGGAACCATTATCGCCTATCTTCTCATTTCTCCTCAAACATAATCCTTTTTGGTCCCATTTTATAACTTTGATTAATACTTTATTCAAAAGGTAAAAACAGCAGGAAGAAAAGTCTCCATACTTCTACTGCCATGCCTACCAGCTACCTATCTTGTCTCAAAGAAGGGAGTGTCTGCTTACTCAAGACCCTCCTCCTGCCTTACATTTTTCCCTCCTCTCCGGCTTATTCCCATCAACGCGTGGGCTTGCTTGGAAATCTTTTTTTTTTCTTTCACGCAGCATCTCCCTTCACTCTGCTCTCGGTGACTGTCTCAACTTGACTCACTTCCCCGATTCTCTATTTTAAACTTCATTTCTAGTGAGACTGGCCCTCCCGAAGCTCGAGATTCTTTTCCCCAGATGTTTAGAGTTGTATTGCCTGAAGCACAACCAAAACAGAGACCGTCTCTACCTCATCAAAGATCCCTTCACACCCTCAATCTTGTCCCGTGAGCTCTTCTCTCGCTCTTGACCCAGGCACCTGCTCAGTCCGCCCAGCTCTCTCTTTTTTACTTTAATTTTAAATCGCTTGCTTCACAAGCTCGCCTTAACCAGCCTTCGTCCCCGTCACTCCTCAGAAACTGTTCTCACTAATGCCATCCACCACTTCCACATCCCCTCAGCCAGAGGTCACATCCATCTCCCACTTCCTCAGCCAGAGGTCACATCCATCTCCCACTTCCTCAGCCAGGGGTCACATCCACCTCCCCACTTCCTCAGCCAGAGGTCACTTCCATCTCCCACTTCCACATCCAGGGGTCACTTCCATCTCCCACTTCCTCAGCCAGAGGTCACTTCCATCTCCCACTTCCTCAGCCAGAGGTCACTTCCATCTCCCACTTCCTCAGCCAGGGGTCACTTCCATCTCCCACTTCTACATCCAGGGGTCACTTCCATCTCCCACTTCCACAGCCTCTCCGGGTTAGGTGCAATCGACCACGCCTCCTGCAGGACACTTTCAGCTTGGTCTCCAGAATGCTATGCTCTTCTGTTTTCTTTCTGCTTCACATCTGCTGCTCTTGCTGTCTCTGCTGAATTGAATCTGTCCTCAACATGTCGACAGCTTTGATGTAGACACCTAGACTTCCTCTGTAGTTCCTTCTCCATATTTACACAGCGTTGTCAGTTAATGTGCCGTGCTGTCAAGCTTATCTCACCAGCTAAGACTCTTTCTTTAGATAGCAGCCAATGACAACTCGGGTGTCTACCAGACATCTTAAAAAGCTTTCTTGATTTCTACGTCTGTCACCACTATGCTTAATTTACCCATTTTCCCCACAACTTTTCTGTTTCAATAAATGTCATCACCATTTTTCTGATCCCTCTGGCCAAAAATTTAGAAATAGTGCTTAATCTCTTTCACCCTCTCCCCATCTCCTTCTCTCCCTCTCTCTCCCCCTCTCTCTATCCCTTCCTTCCCTTCTCTCTCATCTCTCCCTTCCTCTCTCTCCATCCCTCTCCATCCCTCTCCCCCTCCCCTGCCTCCCTCTTTCCCTTCTCCTCCTATCTCTCTTCCTCCCCTTCCCTCTCTCTTTTTCTCTCCCTCCTCTCCTTTCTCTCCCTCCCTCCCTCTCATGGTTGCTACTCTGTGCCAGGAGTACTCTGAGTCTCCAGACTGTCTGAAGCTTCAATACAACTTATTTTTTCTGCTTTATTTTTAATTTGAGCAATACTTTCTGGAATAATGTTCTATTTAATTAAAAATTTTAACAAAATAAAAATGTAATTACACTTCCCCTTCCTTGTCCTCATTCTAACCCTCACACATTAATAACATTTTTTAATTATTATTGTTCCATATATGTACATGAATAAGTAACTATAACCTGTTGAGTCAAGTGTAGCTTGTGTTCATACAATTCCAGGGCTGATCACTTTGTATTGGACAACCAATTAGGGGACTCATCCCTGGAAGAGGATATTCCTCCACACACTCAGCAAACATTATTTGCCTGTATTTCTTTATCTAGGGGCGGGGACCCACGACATTTCCCCTTTGTGCATTGGCATGTGTATTGATATTGTCATTGTTCTGCTCTTCTTTAGGCAGCCATATAGCTGAGGTGTCGTGGGTCCCGTTACTCCTTGGAAACACACTTTCACGGCAAAGTCTCTGATCCTCTGCTCTTACAATCGTTTTGCCTCCTCTCCTGCAATGCTCTCTGAGCCTCTGGTGCTGGAGCTGTCTCCCGCTACAGTGTAGATTCCTTGGCAGTCGAGTATCCCCAAGTATTTCTTTATGAACAAATACGAAAGTATGACTGTTCTGCTAGCTCCCTCTGCTTGCTTTCTACTACCTGAGGAAGTAATTATTCAAATAAGCATTTAACAAAGTGGGCATTTCAAACTAAGCATAATAAAAATAGTTAATAATTATAAGACAATCTTGATTAGATCTTAAAGAACTTTTAGGCACTACTCCCAGCACCCTGGGCCCAGGCACTTGTCTCTACAAATCGCCATCTCAGTCTCACAGAGAAGGAGTCTCAGGCTCACACTCTAAGACCTCCTGTCTTGTAAGAGGAAGAGAGAATATCTGTATCTCTACTACCTAGTGACAAAGCCTGCATTTTCCCAGAATTTCCCATTCTTGACAATGATATCATCAAAAGGAGAGACTATCTGAAGAACTCCAATTCTTCTTTCTCTAAACCCAAAAGTCCTCTGATGGGAAGTTGGTAGCTCGTGGGGTTCCATGCCTTGAGACAGAGACCTTTATTCTTATTATTTGACTTTTGCTACATACCTGGCAGTGGGGCCAGAGATGAAACGCAAGATTCTTAAGAGGAGGAGGGAATAGAGAATAAGAGCAGAGGAACAAAGGACAGGCAGTTAAGAGCGAGGCAATCTTCTCTCCATCACAGAGACAGAGGTTACTGAAAATTACCTTATAATTATAGGAAGGACGGTGTGTCTTTTCTGGATGATACAGAATATGGGGAAAGAAACAGAGAATGAAGAAAGGAATTTGGGGCGGGGGAGGACATCAGAAGAAGGGGAAGAAGAGGGGGTTGTGTGGAGGGCACGCGGGAAGGAGAGGGTGCTGCAGGGATAGCCCTTTGGAGAGGGTTGGCGGTGTCTGTGGAGCTCACTACCCTGGTTCAGCTCACACTGGTTTCTTTTCCAGCTCCACTCTGTGAACCTGCTGGTGAGTTGTGCTTCCCAGTCTTCCTCACAGTCTAGGGAGTGTACCTTGTCACCTCAATCAGCACACGAGGCCTGTGGATGACTGAACAGCCATGCCTCTGCAGGACACAAACTTCAGAGACTTCTGGGAGCACGTTGTGCCCTGTGTCTGTCCAGCTGGGTGAGCTGGTCTGGAGACAGCCTCCGGGCAAGTGTGGAAATACGGTCACTCACACAGCGGTGGCAGAAAGTGTTAGAGATTTACTTAAGAGTCTGTTCTTCAGAGGCCCTGGGTCCCCTCTGTGCTGTTCAGTTGGGGGATGCACCACCAATGACTGAAAAGATGAAGCTACAGAGTCACAGCCCAGCTCTGTAGTTAGTCCCCAGCGATAGGCAGGCAGACTCCAACACCGCTGCCCCGCCATCTATAGCTCCGCCCTAGTTGTAGCTGTTCTGTTCTCTCTCTCTCTCTCTCTCTCTCTCTCTCTCTCTCTCTCTCTCTCTCTCTCTCTCTCTCTGTCTCTGTCTCTGTCTCTGTGTGTGTGTGTGTGTGTCTGGCATATGCAAATTTAATTAATTGTCTTACCAGAAGTAACTTTCTCTGTGAAGTTTATGCAAATCTACTGGGTCTGAAATGATCTCCTGCATACAAACTATGAGTCACAATGCTAAAAAAAAGATTGCCTAGTGCACCCAAGCAATGCAGGGTCGGAGGGTCCCCCATCTGGTCTTCTGGGTCCCTCGCTGGTATCTAGGCTTAACTCCCGTGTGCTAATGTTACGTGTGCTGTGTTGCGTGGTTTCCCCTTTTCCTCTAACCCCAGGCACTCAGTCACAGCCTACAGAGACATACAAACCCACATCAAGGACGAGGAAATAGTTGGTTTACATGTTTTTAAGGAAATCTCTGATGCTTGAGAATTATCTGAAACAGGCCATGAACTACAAAGAAAAACCCCAAACTCTTGCAGAGAGGTGTGTCTGGTTTCTTGTTCCTTGTCATGCTGGCCCTGGCAGGAGAGAGGCCTGAAGGTGCCTAATGCCTTTCTTTCTCAGCTCTGTTTCAAATGCTGTGAAGTTTATATGGGGACCACAGATGTCCACAAAGAGAAGATGCAGAGTATTCCATACTTAGGACAGATGCTAGCTGTAGGTGTAACTAATACCTAAAAGGATCCTGAAAAAAGCCTTCATGTAAGAAGAGTTTGAGGTCATGGACACTGAACTAGGTATCACCAGGGACACACATGACTTGGTATTTTTCATCTGGTAAAGAGAGATAGTTTCTCTTAGTAAACTATAAAAGTCTCCCAAATTGAGAGCTCTAAGGGCTAAGCAAAATGCCCAAAGAGACTGGCATTTCATGGGCTGATGGGACAGTGAGGGAGATACGGGGAGAATGCAGCTTCAAAGCTTCAATCATCTTTACATACTCATAAACGAGTTCCTAAAACTCCAGAGCATGTATCCCTAAGAACTAAGGCATGGATTAAATTTTTATCTCATCTCATGGATTCTGCAGAGGTTTGTGTAGGAGTTCTGAATCAAGGGATCTGGGCTGTGTGGATGATGGGTTCAGGGAATTTCCAGGCAAGTGCCCTCCCTTTTCTCCATCAAGAACTGCAGCATGAGAGTCAGAGAAGAGTCGACAGAGAACTGAGGCCCCTTCTTGTTTCCATGGTGTTGCTTCCATAACAACCGATTCCCCTGTTGTGTGTGTCTTTGAAAGTAATGTCTGAGATGGCAGGAAAAGGGGAGCCTTTTTTCTTTTCAACATGATTTATAACAAAGGTAAAAGAAATGAGATGAGTTTTAGTTCAATGGTAGAACACTTGCCCAGCATACGTAATGCTCAGCTGCCTTGATTCTGGTACTACCAAAAGGAGGAGGAGGAGGAGGAGGAGGAGGAGGAGGAAGAGGAGGAGAAGAAGGAGGAGGAGGAAGAGGAGGAGGAGGAGAAGGAGGAGGAGGAAGAGGAGGAGGAAGAGGAGGAGGAGGAGGAGGAGGACTTGTCCTTGAACAACAACAAAAACAGGAGGAAGAGAGGAAGGAAAGAAAGGAGGGAGGAGGGGAGGAAAAAGAGAAAAGAGAGAGACAGAGTTTACTAGACCGGCAAGCTTCGCCATGCCCAGTGACAATCTTCAATATACTTGCTATAGCATAATTCTTAAAATTATGCCAGAAACTTTAAAACAAGATAATGAGATCTAAGCCACAGGTAAAGATTGCCTTCTAGAAGCTGGTGCCATTGCACAGGGTTATGGTGTACCAGAAGGAGCAGCCTCGTGGCTATGAGGGAGGTGGTGGGAGATGTTTGCGTTCCTGAGGCTGAGAACACAAAAGACGCCTAATCAGGAACACTGCCTGGAGTTTGTGTTTATGCTTTTCTCTAGAGTTGTTTCTACACCCTGTGCTAGAAGTCAGTTCTTCCCATCCGGTAGAGGGGCATTCCGTAACCCTGACCTGCAAGACCCAGGTCCTCACACACAGCCCACATATCCAGCTCCTGTTCTGCTTCGTCAAGGATGGCAAGGTCCTTGGGTCAGGCTGCAGCTACTCCCCAAAGCTTCAGATCCGCCCCATGTGGAGGAAAGACCCAGAGCCTTACTGGTGCTCGGCAAAAGCAGAAACTCACAATATCAAGAAGTGGAGCCGGGCAGTCGACATACATGTGCAGAGTGAGTGTCTAAGCTTGCTCTCCCAGAGGCTCTCCCAGAGTCAGAGGCTGGTTAGAGAAGAGCAGGACAGAATGTCTCCCACGCTCCTTCCTGAGACAGTAGACACTGGGAGGAGCTACCAGCTTCCCTGGTGAAATAGCAAGAAAGGGCTTTGTGGGGGAAACGTGTCGAGTAGGTTATTGGAGAAGAGTTTATGGAAGACTCTACAACAGAAAAACGATGTTTTAGTACCCTGTACCATGTGATTCCATGTCAGGGTCGATCATCAAAAGCAAATGTCCAGTACCTACAAAGGGTTGAAATAGTCTCAAACGTCAACACTGGTAAAGCAAAATCTACCCCAAACTGTAAAAACCTCGAACAGCTCACACATAGCAGATTCTACTCTAGTGCTTCATACGTGTGATGTAAGTGATCTCTAATACTGCAGGAGGCAATGATAGTCACACATTTACAAATGGAAATTGGGTCTAAGAGAAATTAAGTCATTTGAGCAAACACACACAGCAAGTAAGAGTTTGAAAGAGTATTCATAGCCCAGCAGTTTGATTTACAACTTGGACTAGAAATCACTATAAGGTAGTAGAAATTATGTTATCCTAGGGTGGGAGATGACATCACATACTCTACAGTAGCTGTAGAGTGCTTTTCCTACCCTGTGACTACCAGCCAAATCTAAGATGATTCCAAGTCAGCAGAGCACCAGCCCCAATGTGAGCTATTGAAGTCACCAACTTTGCCAGCCCCAATGTGAGCTATTGAAGTCACCAACTTTGCCAGCCTCTCAGGGTCACCACACATACTCCTCTCTGAAATTCTTTCTACTCAGGGTCCTCTTCGTTACCTTGTGTTCCCACAGGAGTCCCTGTCTCTGATGTGAGCTTGGAGACACGGCCCCCAGGGGGATGGGGGATGGAGGGAAACACACTGGTCCTCATTTGTTCCGTTGCTAACGCTACTGGAAACATAACATACCTCTGGTACAGAGGAACCCTGGGTTCAAATCTGGAAACAAAGATACAGCATTCACTGACAGCAGAGTTTGAGATCCTCAAAATGAAGGAAAGCAGCGCTGGGCAATACTACTGTGCAGCTGACAATGGCTACGGTCCTGTTCTCAGTGACCTGGTGAATGTCACTGTCAGAGGTAAGTGACACAGTCACCGCATCTACAGCATGTCCCGCACGAAGCTCCACACTCCCCCGCGCTGCCCTTAGCGACTTGAGTGGGGTTGAGCCTCTAGAGAACAGGCAGACATTATGGGTCTGTTGCGCCATCGAGGCACCCTTCTCTAATTGCTCACTGTTGACCAGTTCCAGTGTCTCGCCCCGTCCTTACCTTTGGGGACTCTGGAACCCAGGCTGTGCTGGGGGACCTGCTGGAGCTTCGCTGTGAGGCCCCGAGAGGCTCTCCTCCAATCTTCTATCAGTTTTACCATGAGAATGTCATTCTGGGAAACAGCTCGGCTCCCTCTGGAGGAGGATCGTCCTTCAACTTATCCCTGACTGCAGAACGTTCTGGAAACTACTTCTGCGAAGCCAGCAATGGTCAGGGTGCCCACCGCAGCGAGGTGGTGACTCTCAACCTAACAGGTATTGGTCATACTTTAAAACTGTCAAGGTCGGCGTCTCTTCCCGAGAAAGCATCAGTTTTTCCAGTGATGTATGTCAAGGGCAGGGCTTCTGTACGTGATGCTGCCATGGGTGTGGAGAACAGAGTTTGAACGCCTATCTTCTTCCATCAGAGCGAGAAGCAAGGGTTCTCTAGATAAAAAGGACACCCTCCCCCATCAGGAGCAGCCTTTGAACATAATCCACACACAAGACGTCTGTTTTCCAAACTCAGCCCTTCCTTACCGGACTCCATGCGCAGGTCTCTCCTCGGTGCCCATTGAGTCTGGAAGCAGTCGCCTCACCTCAGGAGTTACTGAGTGGCTGGTTGGCTGTCTTGGCCCCCTCACCATGGCCCTAATATTTTGCTACTGGATGAAGAGAAAAAGAGGTTAGTAACTTAATATATTCATGCTTTGCTACTGTCACCATTTTTTCCAGAAGCAGATTGCATTTGTGGCATGCATCCTGCAGAGTAAGTGCATGCCCGTGTGTCTTCTCATAAACTTTCAAAGCCTGCTAAAGCACTATTTTAACAAAGTTCACCAGCTGATATCTTGTTCTTCCGTGATTTAATTTTTATATGAAATTAGCTATTTTTTAAACTAGAGCAGAAGCGGCTGGTCGCTTAGCTGGTTAAAGCACCTGTCTAGTAAACTGGAAAGGAGGAGCAGCGCTTACCTACTCGCTTTGGCTAGCTCCAGTCTGTGCAGTCTTACCCAAGGGCACTGCCACACGCTTTTACTTCTCCCTGAAACACAACTCACGTCCCTCTGGGTTCTGATCATACCCGATCTTTCTCTCCTTGTAGATGAAACACTGCTTTTCTCCTGAGAGTTTCACCTGGTAGCATAGTCAGCAATTGCTCTCCATTTTGGATTTTAAGTTATTTACCTCTTTCTGAGTTTATCACAAGCTATAGTTTCACAGCTGTTTATGTTTCACCTTGGGCTCCTTAAGTCTCCACTGAGCAAGTTGAAGATGGTCAGTAGAGGACGGTGTGAGGCGATCCAAATCTCACTTGAATTCCAAGCTTTTCCAACATCTTTGGACACCTCCCAGCTATAACTTGGCCACGGCAGAGCCTGGCTCTGGGACTCTGGGCAGGATAAGATTCATCGGAATGGTTGCGAATTCAAAGCAAAGGATGTAACAGACAGAAAGTCCCAAATCCTGTTTCGGGTACCCACCGGCTTGGGAAGTTGTTGACTTCCAACTTTTTGGAGTTGACTTAATGCTGCTGGACCTAAATTGTCTTAGTTGTGATATAAAGACTGTAAGTGTCCCCCAGAGGTCCACTGGGGACGTTGTGGCATCCCAACCAAGCACCGCCAAGGCAGGAGGGCAGCTAAAGTAGGGCCCCACTGATACAAGCTCTCATTTTCTTCTTGCAGGAAGACAATCAGATGACCCACTCAGGTGAGAGCCCTGATTTCTCTATGCACTAATGATGCCGTAAACTTACTTTAAAAAGCTATTTCTTTAAGATTATAGTATAATGACATCATTTTCCCCTTCTCTTTCCTCCCTCCAAATGCTCACATATGCCCCTCCCTGCTCTTTTTCAAATTCATGGCATCCTTTTTCTTTTGATTATTGTTATATAGATATATGTACATGTATACACATATGTGTTTCTAAACCTAAATACAATCTGCTCGGTCTGTATATTGACTTTATGCTTGTTTCCAGGCCCAACCATTTGGTATTGGATAACCGATTGCTATGCTGTTCCCAAGGGAAGAGCACGTCTCCCACTCTCAGCATCCCTCTGCTGCCTGAAGTTCTCTGTGTACAGTCTTTCCCTGTCCAATTAAATATGTCTGTCTTTGTTGTCTTTGTTTAGGCAGTCATGTTGGCGAGGCTTCATGGGTGTAGCTTCTGACATTACTGGGAGACACACTCTCACAGGAAACTTTCTGACCCTCTGGCTCTTACACACTTCCCCACCCCCTCTTCCACAATGTTCCTCAAGTCTTTGGTGCGGGAGTGTTTTGTAGATGTATCCATTGGGAATAGACTTCACAACTCTGTGTGTTGGTTGGTTGTGGTTTTCTGTAATGGACTCAAGCTGTTGCAGAGAGAAGATTCTTGGTTGACAGATGAATTCATCTGCGAGTATAAGGACAAATATGTAAAATGTAGTTAGGAATTATGCTGGTTTAGTGACATGGTGGTCGTATGTCCTCCTCTAAGATTGATGACTTCACTAGCCCTGAGTAGCACTATCCGCTACTGAATCCTTAGGCTTATCATGCCACACTGGCTGTTGCGGTTCAAAGGTGTCACTGCTGGATAAGACCGTTGGTTGTTTCCCTCCCCAAGAAACTTGCATGGCACCTTCTGGTACCATGAAAACTTAAGACTCTGGTGCCCTCTCTCCTGAGCTGCTTCCCTGTTTCCCTGCACCTAAAACTCACTCCCGGGTTCCCCTATTGGCAACTTCGAACATCAATTTGCTATTTCTCTTTCACTAATTACTTTAAACTATTTCTCCATTTTTCGCAGCTGCTTCCTTCCAATGCCTCTGCAGTTGTAGTCTCTTGATTTCTCTTGGTCTCACCACCGGTTTAATCATGTAGTCAGCTTTACTTACTGTTGTTCTTTTGTAAAAGTTTAAAAATTAGAAAACAGAAATTAGAAAGGCGCACGAGATGGAACCGGGTCTGGTGAGATACAGTACGAGCCATGGAGAGTACATTAACCATAGTTTATTACAGTGGCGGCAGAGCCAGAGGGGGTGGAGGAGGGGGAGGGGGAGCGGCGAAGGGAAAGAGAGGAAGCATGGAGGGAGAGCAGAGAGCAGAGGTGAAGAGAAGTAAGACAGTGTAAGAATAAAAGTGAACCGGGAGGGAAGTTGGGGGGTCTGTCCTTTAAAGGGGTCCTTTGCACCTGCGTGCAGACTGTACTCATGGAACCCTGGGCTGTCCAGAGCGCTGCCTGAGTGCATTCTGCCTAGTGACAGGGCGGGCCAGCATAATGCCTGAACCTTTCACTACAGCAGAGGAAAGCCCTGAGAGTCTAAAAGTATTTTAGGACAGATAAGATATATAAGCTACGAGTCTCTGAAATGCAAGACAGAGAGTAAGAGATATACTGGAGATGTTGTTGGGGAGGCTTGTTAGAATCTTAGACGGGGAAAAGATTTCTAAAATGCTTGCCGGTTCCAAACTTGGCTTGTGTGTCTTCCACACCAATGATAAGCACTCATTCCATATCCCAGCGGTGTAGCATGTACATGACCACTTTCTTCTGTTCCTTCCTCACGCTGCCTACTCGGCCAGCTGTCTGTTTTTAACTGAGATGAATCACTACACCTTTACTTAGTACCCTGCTCTGTTCCAAGGGACTAGCAGTTAGACTCCCTGATAAGCAGAAAGACAGGGACAGGAACGATGACTGCGTGATAAAAAGAATGAACTTGTAAGACACTGGCTTCTTCCCCCGCCCTCCTGACCTGGGCACCAAAGCCTGGCAGCTTAAAACAAAGGCCTTGGGTGATGTGTCTCCTGCCAATAGGCCCCTGCTGACAGGCGGGCTCAGGTTCATGATGCTGTCAGGACACACACAACAGTTGTAGGCCAATCAGACATCCGGTCTTTCTTCACCTGAGCAACCCCAGATGGGGAGAAGACGATCCTTCAAAACAAACAAACAAAAAACCCAACCCTCAGGGAGACTCCATCTTTTCGAGTCACCCCTGTGTGCTGAGGGCCTCTCCCTATGTGCCTGCTGGGTGTGCGGCTTCCTCACCCCTGGCAAAAACCCTTTCTTCAGCTGCTGATTCTGTCTTCCGCTGCCCGCCGCGTTCACAATTTCTCTGCTGTTACCTGCTGCACTCGAGGCTTTTCCCGCCTTTGAATTCTTTAACTGACAGAGAAGACGGACCTGATCAGGATCCCTAGCTGGTAACCGTTACATGTGTGGGTGATGCCGTGGTGAACCCGCGCCCTGGAACACATGCTCTGGGGCAGCACACAGAGCCCAATCCTGCCCACTGATAAGGCCTCAGCTTCCACCACACAGCTGTCCCCTCCAGCTGTTAATCTTTCCATGAATTAGTGTCCGGTGCAGAACCCTGTCCTTCCCATTGTGCATTCTCGGCAGTCACGCCCGGAGCATCTGGGATGGTGTGTGTTTTGTGCTTGCAGGAGCCCTCCCAGGCCTGTGCTCCGAGAATCCAGCTACCTCAACTCACCTGACCCAAGGCAGTTACAGTCGGTGTATGAGAACGGTAAGGCTTCCCAATGACCTGAGTCGTCACGGCACAGGCTGGAAAGGGAGGCTATCCAGGGTGTGGTCTGCTCGCCAAAGTCGATTCTGCCGCAACCCAGTCCCTCCACAAACAGAAGATCCACCTGCCTTGGAGTTTGTGAGAGGAGGTGGGTGTGGAGTGAGTGAAGGAACGGGAAGAAAGGGTTGCTTCAGTATGTCTCCCTTCTTGTTTCAGTGAATGTTGTAAGTGGCGATGAAATTTACTCACTGGTATACCATACCCAGCAGCAGCTGGAACCGGCAGCGGGTAAGAAAGGGAACGGGATGGAGTCTTCTCTGACTTCCGTCTGTCCCAGAACCGAGAGGACAGTCAATGGCCCCGCTCGGCAATGTGGCAGTGTTTGTCCTTAGGGCTGGCTGCAGGTATCACTATAGTTACTTTGTTCTGGAAGCTGTTTCAACTAGAGCCCAGTGCTGTTGTTAGACTGGCCTAGTGCATGTTCACACGGCCGGGTTTTCAAGGTAACCCGAAGACGTCAGCTGCTGCCGAGTGACCTGCATGGCCCTCGCAGCTATTGCTCCTGCCATCCTATACATGGCAGGCCCAGAAAAGGAGAGAGGTATCAAAGTGTCTCCAGTGCCAGAAGGGCCTGTGTACCCACCCACCCCAGGCTGCCCATTCTTCTGGGGACTCTGAGATAACGGTTCACATGGTAGAAAGGAAGGCAGGAAATGGCGCTGAGCTCAGTCTAGGGAAAACAGGCCGGGGCAGAAGCGAGCTCTACTGATGGAAGGATGTAAAATACTAATTATAAGCGGACCCTCACAGTGCTTACTCTTTCCTCCACAGCTCAGTACGTGACAACGCACAGGACAAGTGAGGTAAGCCGGGTCTTCCCTGTCCTCTGTGTGCCTTCTCTGCCCCCCCTCCCAGACTGTCTTAATGCCTTTCCATAGTATTGCTACTTAGGAGGAGGAAAAACACCACAGTTCTTTATCTACCAGCATAGCAGAGATAAAAGGCATTTAGCTACAGCAATAATCACCATATGAGGGAGTTTTGGAGGCTTATGGATATATTTCCTTGAGTAATGTGTTGACATATATAGTTCAATCATGGTTTATACTTATCTAAAAAGTTCTATTTATTTGAAAATCTCTGTTGAACTGTACAGCCATCACCTAGTGCTGTGTAGCTAGCAATATGAAGTGAACTAAGTTAATACTGAACAATACTCAAAAAAACTAATGTTGCCTTTAAAACCAGGCCTTGTGAAACATGCACAAGGCCATCCTAACAACAGCATTGGGATCTACTTGGCACAAACATAATTTGTATTATGAAAAATTCATAGTTTATAACTCCTGGATAATTCGTGATATCTGTGATGGGGCTAGAGAGGTGGCAACAGTTAAGAGGCTCACTGCTCTTATAGAGGACCAGAATGCAAGTCCCAGCCAGCCACCTGCCTCTCCAGCTCCAGGGGACCCAGCGCCTTCTTCTACTCCCCATGGGCACCTACGTTCATGCATACACACAGGCAGCACATATACGCACAATTAAAAAATTCTAAAAGTCATCCATGATGCCACAAAAGTACTTCTGAATGCCCACAAGTATCGCAGGCGCTTCGCAGCTTTGTCCAGCATAGGGTGGTCTCAGGGCAGAACTCAAGTCCTCAGAAAGCCTGAGAGCATGTTCAGTTTCCTTCATTCCCATATCTCCGAGTAATGGCTGCACATAGTGTTGTTCAGCAAGCACCTCTGGGAGCTTCAGGAGTGGACAGGCTCCTTTGACAATCCTGGCAGAAGGCCACAGCCTTCCAAGAGGCTCCTTTTAAGGTAGTGTGGTTGCACATGACAAAATGCATCCAGGTTGGCCAGGAAGAGGCCCAGGGGAAGACATGTTCTTCTGTTTTCTCTTCTTTGGTCCCTCCAGGTCTCCCCTGAAATCTATTCCAAGCCAAGGAAGATAAACACTGCATATATGGACTACGAGGACACTATGTAAAACTATGTGAACAGCGTCTGTGAAGAGCTGTGAAAAAAACCAAAGGCCTGATGGGGACTCGGGGGACGCTGGGGAAGGCTGGCTTGCGGTACACCTTCCCCACATGCTTCCCTTCGCCCACCCAGTGTGAAGTCGGTACAAGTCCTGAAGGAAGCACGCAGGAAAGCCACCTTAGACCCAGAAGCTGCGAGGACTGGCTGATGGCATCTGATCATTGCCCATTCGTGCTGGGGCGTGGCAGATCGCTTGCTCTTGTTTACAAGAGGAAAATGGTGTGATGAAGGCAACTGAGGTCTTAGAGCAGAGGGACTTAGAGTGCACAAAACCAACGCCAGTGACGTTGCAGGTCTGCTGTGGAGAGAGAGCTTTGCTTCCTCCATACACATATCCTGTCCCCACCTGAAATACCTGACTCTGTGTGCTTTGAGTCACTGTCATCAATTTAGAATTAAAGCACAGTTTCAAAAATTATACTGTGGCTCCATTTCATTTTAGTGACGTATCTGGGGTGCATAGGCTAGTCTAGATCCTCTCATGATTATAATGGGGTGCATAGGCTAGTCTAGATCCTCTCATGATTATAATGGTCGTTGAAAGGGTCACCAAGTTCTAAGTTTTGAACTTGGTGCAGCATTTAGACTAACCTTTATAAATATGTAAATACAATATTTCTTCTTGAATTGTCAAACTTTTTGAAACCATGGCCATTTGGGCCTGAAGCCTGCTTTAATTTTATATCAATTACTTATTCACATTTATATATTAAAACAATTTAGAAATAAGTAAAGTCTTTGTTATGAGATATCACAAATGGTAACTACTGTAAAAACGTAGCCTGTATTTCTCCAGGTGGTGGTTTATCATGCATATAAATACTAGATAATTAAAAGCACAGCTACTCAAGTAGCTGAAACACGTGCAGGACCGTATGTATATCTATCATACTACTTCAACAGCCTGGAGTAGTATGCTGTGGAGTGCTTTGTTGTGTATTTATATCATAACAGGTGCATTTTTCCTTCTACATAGTAGTAAATCTATATATCCTAAAACTGATTGTCTTACTATGTTTGATCATTTTAACTTTTTTTGAAACAGAACCTTGTTATGTAGATCAAATTTGCCTTGATTTTGAGATTCTCCTGCTTCGGTCTCTGAAGCTCTGGGTCTATGGGCATGTGCCACCACACTCTGCGCTTCTTAACAGTTTCAAATGTGTGGTCCAGGGACATCATCTACTCGCACAACATCTTAATGCCTCTCTCACCACTGATGGGTGTTAAAGTTGTTTCAAAATTTCATATGATAAATGCAATGTCCATTAAATGTCCTCACATTTACACTCTCCGGTGAAGTTGAGTACATTTGGAAATCTGGGATAACATACTGTTACTAAATGCTCCTAAATTTCTCTCCAGTAAGTCTATACAAATCTATACAACCCTCAACAATATAAGAAGAAATCGATGTGTGGGGAAAAGATATAGTCGATTTATTTTTAAATTATTCATTCAGTTGCTCATCTGCATATAAATTCAGTTATAAGTGAGCGGTTCTTCTACTAGCTTCTTGTGTTTAATTTTTGCCTTTTTCATTTTCTTCTGTTTTTCATAGATGCAAAACTTGTCTTTTAAATAAAAAAACAGTAAAAAGTCTTATAAGAGTAAATCAGAGAGGCTGAGAATTTATCTCAGAGGTAAAGCATGTGTCAGCATGGTCAACGTCCCAGTGTGATCCCCTGCTCCACAAAACAAAAACAAACTAGAAAAACTGGGAGCCAAGATGCTTGCCCATCTTCCTTATTTGCTGTAAAGCAGTATTTGTCAAGGTCACTGAGTACAATATTACTTTTAAATGTTAGACATTTGAATGCAGGCTGAATTGTTTTTTAAGGTTTTGATCTGCTAGTATGTACTTCAGTGAAGCAGGAAGGTGCAGGTGACTAAGCAAAAGTTTGGATAAGAATGGCCCCCGTGGGCTCATATACTCGAATGCTTAGCCTCCAGCAAGTGGAACTCTCTAAGAATAAAGGATTAGGAGATGTGGCTGACCCAGTTCTCTTCCTTTCAGACTGTGGATCAAGACATAGCTCTCAGCTACTGCTCCAATACCATGCATGCCACCACAGTCCCTACCACGACAGGAAAGGACTAAACCTCCAAGGCAAGGCCCCAGCCAAACGCTTTCTTTTGCCTGGTCATGATGTCTCTCCACTGTAATAGAACAGAGACAACGACACTGTCGGTTAATTTTGGCTTCCACCAAGGACAAACAACAACGCTGTCCTGGGGAAAGGAGGAGTTTAACCTTCATTCTAACCAAGAGGTCTCTTCCAGAAGAAGGTCTATTAGGAAGGAGTGACAGAAGTAGAGATCTCCCCCAGGAGCAGGCAAGGACTTGAGAAAAGTGTCTTTTAAGGGATATTCCCTCACAATAGTCGTTTGTTGGGATCTAGGACCAGGGGACAGGTGGAGGGCGGAGAATCAAGCACCAGCATCGATGAGGAAACTGATCTGGCACTCCCCTGCAGCCATGATTGTCCACGGCCCCTCAAGATATAGTTTTAGGGCAGAAACCTGTATAGGAGGCCCTGAGGCCCATCAATGATTGGGTGGGGGAGAAGACCTCTGCCTCAGTGGATTCTTGGGGAACTGATCCTTCCAGCAATTGACCTTACAAATAGGGCAGGGTCCCAGGGTGACCTACATCTCCGAGGACACTTCCTTTGGAGGCGGCCTTCAATTCACAGAAAGCAGGACCCTGGTTTAGACTGTGTTCCCTCAGGAACTTCCTTGATGGCAGCCAGAAGTCCCTCATGACGCTTGTCATTGCATCTTTCCTTCTCTATATCCTTGCTTTGCTTTCCTGATCATGGTTACAAAAGACCACAGAAGCAGCCTGAACCAAACTGTTTTGTGGTTTACCTGGCTCAATGGCCAGCTTTTGAAGCTTTTTCATGAGTCATCACCAATGCTTGGGTGGGTTTTTCTATGATGCAGCTGCCTTGGAATCATCCATGCTTCTGTAAATAACCCCTCATTCTTATTCGTGTAAGTAACCCAATTATCTCATTGCTTTACAAAGGTGAACTTTGATCGAATCTTTTCTTTGGTTGATTATTGGTGTCATATTTGGAAGTAGATATCTGTTCATGTTGCCCTGGGAAGTCACACAACAGACATCCATGTAATGTCCATAAGACACCGTCTCTCAGTAGACCTCACCATTCAACCCCAGTTCATACTTGAAGCATTTTGATCAGTTATGAGCCTTTGTATTAACTGCTATGCACTGCAAAAAGAAACCTCTCTGATCAAGGCTGAGAGCTGAGCTCATCTATTGATAGAAATACCAAGTAGTTAGAAGGCAGCTTTATAATACATACATTTAGCAAAACAATAAAGATAATTTCCCCCCTCACCAGAGCCTGTGACTTCCCCAGCACTGGAACCCAGAACTCACAATAAACAGTGTCAGTTTCCTCCTGTGGAGCAAGTCTTAAAAGCCAGAATGTTCCTTGGCTGTCCATATAATAGCCATGCAATTATTGAACCGGTTGGCACATCTTGCCTAGGAGATGTTTATTTTAACATTCTTGGTGCAATGCTAGGGTAGGCCATTGATGGCTTTTGACTTGCATAACACCTTCAGGCACTATGGCAGCTAGCCAGCAGGCAGGAAGCATCCAGTTCAATCTCAGCTTGATTTACCAATGTCCTAAACTAAAGTGTGTGGTGTCTTCTGCAACAGGGTCTTATCATCAACAGCAATGACTCTACCCTGCATTATGCAAGGAGCTCCTGGGTCCCCCTTAAACAAAGACTCAGAGGTTTAGGAGGCATAGAGTTCCTTGTGCTCACAGATTAACACTAGGGGAACCTGGAATTACCATACAGGATTGCTCCTTCAAGGGAAGGAATGCACAACATATTACCTACCCAAAAGGCTGGGAATGAACATGTTTAATAGCCTGGTAATCTTTGTGCTTTCTGTGTGGTCAGAGACCATACTGTTCCCTCTCCCAGACCCTTATCATAAGTATGTTTTTTTTTCAGTCAATTTACAGAACCTACCTTTATAGAAGGTATCACTGTACTGCACAAAGAGTTTCAATGTAATCATGCCCAATCCTTAGTTACTTACTTTGCTCCTCAAGAAAATTTGTGTTAATTATAACCATGAACGTTTTTACCAAATTACACTGTGCTTAATTATGCCTAAAATAAACCACTTCAGACTCCTGAAGTTTGAACCAACCCAGGCTACTTAGACATATTGAACCAAACTTCCTTCTTACCTCCTATGGATCATCACTTTGCTGGTCATAGAGTGAGCAGAGAATCCCGAAGGAAGGTATCACATACCTGGCACTTGGATTTTTATTTTCATAACCCATGGATTCCAAGAGTAGCATTCTTAACCCATATAGGGCTTCCATTCAAATGTTTTTGCCATCTATACATCTGACAGAGGGTTAATAGCCAGAATATATAAATGATGGGGAATGTTATTCTGTGTATATGTTTCTCTCAGTGGTTAACAAATAAAACACTGATTGGCCAGACAGGAAGTGATATAGCTGGGCAGAATCGGGATATAAGCAGGAACAAACAGGAAATCACTCTTTTCTCTGTGGAAATGATGAGCAGTCATGTAGCAGGCAAAGGGGCTGCAGGTCTGGTATTCCCCGGTAAGACAAGACCACGTGGAAATACTAGCCAATGACAAACCATGCCAACAGCCAACAGTATTATAATTAATATAAGTCTTGTATGTTTATTTGGGGCTCTCAAGGGTGGCGGGACCCTGCCAGGACAAAGAACCTCTCGTAACATAAAGAACTCAAAAACAAAGAGTCAAGGAAATAAATGGTCCAATTTAAAAATGAGCTAGGATAATCCTTAACATTAACCTATAAACATTTGTGCTTAAACCCACAGATAAGTGTAGTCTTTATCCCTCTGTCTTAGAGTTTCTATTGCTGTGAAGAGACACCATGACCATGACAACTCTTACAAAGAAAACATTAATTTGGGGTGGCTCACTCACAGTTCAAAAGTTCAGTTCATGGTGGGACATAGCAGCATGCAGGCAGATGTGGTGCTAGAAAGTTGCTGCTACATGTTGCTATGCAGGCTACAGGAAGTAGACTGAAACACTAGGTGTGACTTGAGCATATGTGAGACCTCAAAGCCCACCTCCACAGTAGCACACTTCCTCCAACAAAGCTACACCTCCCAGTGGTGTCCCTCCCTTTGGGGGTTATTTTCTTTCAAAGCACCACATTCCACTCCCTGGTCCCCAAAGGCTTGTAGCCATATCATAATACAAACACATTCAGTGCAATTTCAAAAGGCCCCATAGTCTATAACAGTCTCAAACTTATTTAAAAGTCTAAAGTTCAAAGTCTCTCCTGAGATTCATGCAATCTCTTAATTCTAATCCCCTATAAAAATCAAAATCAAAGAGCA